AGACGGATTATTTTTTTCTACATAGAAAATGATGGGAACTATACTGTAAGTAACCCACGCACATTAGATTTTCGTATATTTTGAGATAAAAAATAAAATGTATATTTGTCCATACAAAAATTTTTTTTTCTCTGAATCTATCAACTTTTCAAGAAATCATACAAGAATAAAAGTTGTTAGGAATGTTATTATATATCACATAAAAAAAATTTGCTCGATACTCCACAAGTTATTCCTATGTCCAAGAATTATCAATTTGGGCCCACTGTGTGGCGTTCCGATATGACCCTTTGGGACCAATGCAATATCTGCGATATCATACTTCTTGGAATTACAAATAAAATTAAAAAATATTATTTCGCACGTTCGGTGTTCTCAGCCTAAAATCACCGTAGCCATTGTTTTTTCACGCTTCTTACACCCAGAAACATTGACATATGAATAATTTTAAGCTAAACTATCAATATGTCTAAATGGCATTAGAATAGACAAAGTAGTGTTCTAGTTATTATTTAGAGGATGGAAACGTTGTGAGTTGCGATTGTTTTTTTTTACAATGTATTTGTATACGACTCCAGGTGCATATCCATTTTGAGGTAAAATATAGCGCCATCTAGTTGACGTGTTTGTTATCACTAGAAGCAGATTTGATAGAATCAATGTGTCAATGTAAAATAACGTTACAAAATAGCTATTTGGTAATCGTCGCGACATCTAGTGTACCAATAGGTACTAAATACCCGGCTACGCTATCTTGTATGACGATTAGCAGTCCTCTTGAGTTATTGGTCCATGATATTACCAATGCCAACCAGCGGCAAACGTCTTGCCTAAAAAATGTATCCTAGCTTACCTTCTTTACCAGCCTATTGAAATATATATACCCCAAAACTACCCCCTACTGGTAGACTCTTACATAATATATTTTGCATAAAAAGCTTTTCTATCACAGAAGCATGAGAGTTGGACTCTATCGAATAACAAACATTTTGTTCTCAATTTTCAGACAGTAATAAATAAGAGCCTAGCAATCCTCCTCTCTGATATCCTGGACAAGCAAATACCAGATGAGGGGATCCGGAATAAGGTGCTCTGCAAAACATGTTATACCAGCTGCATGGAATATAATTCTATGAAGTTCAAGTATGTATTCTTATAAATTACCGTATACATACATATAGTCACCTTTTATGGTATGGTGCAACGGGCTGTTGTCCGCAACTGGACGTCCAAGCGCCTATTTTGCGTGTGGTGGGTGCAGGGTCCTTGTGCCACCCAAGCTCCTCCAAAAATCTCAGCACTATTCTGGGTTTTTCGAAGACTACGGGAAGCGACCTCGCCACTCCAAGGTATTTTGCCCTGTAGTTGGCCACGCCGGAGCCACCTCCACGCATGCTCTGCATAGAGGGCTGTCCGTGATACTTAGATTGAAAAGGTGTTTAGTATATGGACCATGACCCGTTAGAGCGGCAGTCAGAATGCGCAGCTCTTTTGAGGTTATGAAATTTACGAGATATACCGGCTTAAGTATGGGTTGTCCAGGTGTTAATTTGAATAGTTTTTGTACCTTTGTGTATAGTTGTTCTTGACCATTGTATATACCAAAAGTCGCCTTTTACTATATTTCTTAAAACCAATTTGACTACACTTATCTACAGGGCCGGGGATTAGATTCATTCCCTAATTTACCACTCTTAGAGGTGGAATATCGACTGTGAACTGGCAACTGGTACTATCGCAACTTTGACAACTTTACATTGATTTTACTGGTGAAGAAAAAAATTGTTTGCGTCATTTATATAGCATCTGATTTATTAAATGAAAATACGTAGTTTTTAAATATTTTTATTACACATACTCTACGTGTTTTTGTTTAATAAATCAGATGGTATGTAAATGAGCAAACAATTTTTTTCTTCACCTGTAAAGTCAATGTAAAGTTGTCGCGATTGAGATAGTACCGGTTGCCAGTTCACAGTCGATATTTTCTTCAAATTACTACTGAGGTGCCCCCTATCATACAAAAAAGAATCACCAGAATCGGTTCACAAATTCGGAGTAATCGCGCAACGTACACATAAAAAAGCAGTCAAATTGAGAATGTCTTCCTTTTTTTGAAGTTGGTTAAAAATGTATGAATATTATTGTAGCAAAAACATGTTGATTAACTTATATTTTAGTGAGCAATCTAAAGGTGCGGGTGGACAAAATTATTTTTCAATTTTCAGATTACAAAAAATAAAAGTAGATCTTCTACAAAGCTACACAGACACAAAGAACATTCAAGTCGCCGAGAAAGCACCGAAACCGGCTGGTAAAAAGAAAGTAGTTCTGCCAGCCTCCAAACTGCAGCCATTGCCACCTGACTACGTGTTAAATGTTGCTAACTTAGGACTGAGTCCCACAAAAATATTACCTAAACTTTCAGTAAGTATCTGTATGTGTACTTGGTCTTTGGGGTATAGCTAATGTGACCATTATTTTTTGTCTCAGAGCGGGACACCTGTAAATCGACTCATCCGAAGAACAGAGCCCGATATGATTATAGAGCGAAAAGAGAATAAGTACGTTACGAGAATAATTTCCTTATTCAAATTAAGGCCTACGTAAAGGTGTTTTGAAAATTTACATACCTTATTTTATTTCGGAAATATAAAATCGAGGAATGGTCGATCTGACATCCACAGCGAAGAAGAACGAACGAAATGTACTATGTCCTGAGAACAAGTAGTCTTGCACATAGATCTTTGTTCTACGGATGAGTCGAAAGTTATTATAGTTTTAAAAATAAAACACATGTTTTTAATGCTTTTAGTGATTAAAAATAAAAATCTCGTTTTTGGTAAGATCGAGTTTGGTAGGATTCCATTACTTATTACAAACTTCGTTGTAAACATTGACTTACAATTATATGGACGTCGAGTCCGCGCTAAAAAGTGTCCGAACTTATAGGGCGTTAAAATCGTATACAGAGCGTCATTCACGCTCTAGTCTTCGTTTGTTCGACTGACAGCGAAGCAAGCAAAATTGCGACTGCGATGACATTACAATTTAAATTCAACGTTTTAGCTTTTTCATATTCCTTTACATGTCACTACGTTTAAATAGGTTGACTTGGGACATTTTTTTCGTGGTTTTTGTATTAGACCCGTCGTCCATATATTTGTAAGTCAATGGTTGTAAAAACTCCTTTTTGGGTGGAAAAGAAGCAACTTCTCACAATACCCACCTTGTAATCCTGTGGATTCTCACTATTAAGGTTGCACATTATGATTAGATTTTTATGAAAATCGATTGAAGTTTATCGATTTTTATCGATTTATCGATCGATTTTTAGCATCGATTTATTTCAAGCGAATCAATTCAATAGAAAAGAAAATTGTATCGTCTAAGCAATAAACTTTTGTAATAATATCATTCAATTTGAACTAAACACATTTTCAGTTTAGTTCTGAATAGTTTTTGCCCCCGATTTCGGGCGTTAATGGGTTTTAACCCTATTTAAACCCGGGATTAACAGAGCGCTAGTCATCGGAGCAGAAACTCGAGTCGTAAACCTAAATCGAGTATGGAACAACAAAAACAATAATATTTATTTATTTTCACTTACAAAAAGCAGCTTAAGAGCTAATTAAATGTATGCGACATAATACAACTTAAGTGAGTGACTGGCGCCCGTGATAGGTTTGAAAAGCCTGTGTTACAGGTCGCCAAACTCTCACCTCTCAAAAAGAAAATAAGAAAAACTTGTGATTAGCTCAATTTAAAAATGTATTATACATTAAGTTGAAAACTACAAGTACTTAAATTAATTTGAAATATTTATTTGGGAGATAAATGTGTATGATGTATGTGTAAGATGTAGGTGTAAGTAGTGCGTGATAATGATATGAGAGTGATGTTTATGTTACTTAGTGCGAAGGTAACAAATATATGTATTTCACGCGCAATTTACGAGAAGTTTTCTGAGAACTAAACTTCAATTCAAACAAAATTCCCTTCAATATGAGTACTAGAACAACAAAATTCACTCCGGCACACTATTCAGAACACCTCGATACCCGAATTCATCCTACCTCAGTGCAAAGAGGTTTGCAAACGAGTTCATGAATAAAAATTTAATTTATACAGTTTCACTGTACTTTATTAACAATAATCAATAATAATAATAACGCACACAACGAAGCCCTGCACTAGGGAAACCCTGTGTCACGGGTGCCATGGACACATACATAGACCGCCACAAATTACACCCAAACTCACGAGAGAAACAAATGTAGGCCGTACAAATATTTGTTCCGGCCCGGGAATCGAACCTGGGACCTCTGAGTGGCAGCATGTAGTAACTTGAGTGAAAGTTTAAGCACACATCGCCGATCACCTTTTTTTTGTATAATACCAAGTGACGGGGAAAACAACTCGTGCACCTGGTGGTAAGCGACACACCTGTCCATAACAGTTGCAGTGCTACTCAGAGCTTTTAACTCGCAAAGATCTTAGGGACGCTGCCACTGCGCCCGTCACCCTGAAACATAAGTTTACAAGTCCCATGTGTCCGTACCCTTCCAAACTGGCGGTAGAAATAGGTAAGGTGTTTATTTATTATTATACCCAGTATTTTTACCCAGTATTTCCCTGGACGAACTCTTTCACAAGGAGGTCTACTGCTGTTAAACCTCACCTTCCCCACTGGGCTAAATAAAAAGACCGAGTTAGAAGTAATGGAAGAATGAATGGTCATGTATGAAGAGACTGATAGAAGTAGAGGATGCCAAAAAGGTCCTACCCCAGTGGGAGACAAACGTGGTGGTATGTATGTATACACTTAAACGTCAAATTTGTTTCAGCGCGCACCTAGCCCAGGTACGATAAGTCTTAAAGTAACTGTTGGATCTTCGGTTCTAACACAAACGTTAAAAACAACCACTACAACGACTGCTATACAAAAAAGTCCTGTAAAGTTGGCAACATTGCAGAATTCAAGTATACAATATGAAGATATAAAGAATTTTAATATGCCCAAGGATTTTTTAACCAGTGCTGTGTTACTGAAGAACGGTGAGGATGTAAAGCGGGAAAATGGGGAAGCGGAGTTCGAGAATACAGATGAACAACCCATGGAGATTGATGAAGGTAATGGGGCTTCTTTTTACCTTCATACCTTATAGACTAACATATACTGTAATAAAACACCAATGACTAATTATTATTTACACGTATTGTCTGCGACGTGTGACGCAATGTGGGTGTCCGGTAGCCGGCCTCGGGAACGTCGGTACATGACACCCTTCGGCCAAAACTCATCGTTCAGGAAAATCGACAGATGTTGAGTTGGCACTCTCACCACAAATGAATTAAAATTGACACTGGCTTCACCCGTATATACTCCACAATATCGGCAGTATTTGTGGTGTAATGAAGCCGTGACGCTATTATACCAAGTAACGGAACGTACAAGTCATTCGCTTGTTGGTAAGCAACACGCCTGTCCATGACAGTTGCAATGCCACTCAGAGCTTTAAATCACAAAGATCTGGGGGGCACTGCCATTGCACCCATCACCCTGAGACATAAGTTGACAAGTCCCATGTGCCTGAAATTACAGGTCCAGCTCAGGAGCTCTACTGCTTCTAGACTGAATGGAAATAACACGGCTTTCAAGGACGGGTAGAAAAACAGTTAAATGTAAGCGTTGTTAATTTTTAGAAGAGAGCTCAAATTAGAATATTACCGCATAATAATAATAATAAACTAGTAGAGTATTTTCACAAAAAAATAAATAAAACATGATAACCTAATAACTTTATGTTTTTAGTAACAATAACATTTTTGTTTGTATTGAAAATATAAACTAGTTTTGTTTTAAATTTCAGATTGTACCTTAGTAAGACTTCCGCGAAACGACAGCAACATACTCATCGAAGATACTACAGAAAAGGTTTTTTTAAAAATAAACTAACGTAATAATAATTCATTAATTTTGTAGCAATCAAACACAGCTAGCAGTGACCTTCTATATTTTTTATTGTTTGAACTAACTTGGCTTGGAATAATTCGTCATTTATGTTTGATTATGCAGTGATGACCCTATTGATTTCTTCTAAAAGAACTTACAATGTACTGTTTTTAAAGTCCTTCCACCACCGCTATAATGTATACAGATAGGTATGGTATGGTGTATCAGGCCATTGTGCACAACTCTACATCTCCTACTCCGAGATCCTCCAAAAATCTAAGCATCTTTCTGGGTTTGAGGAAAAAATCAGAAAGCGACATCAAATCGCTTCCCTGTAGTTGGCAATGCCGGAGCATTGTATAGGATATGTACGGCCGTTTCCTCCTATTTCATTTTTTTAAGTTAGAGCGGCAGGTTTAGATAGCTGTTATTTTTTAAGCTTAAAAAGTGGTCGGGTGGCTTGCACATCGGTTTTCATGGTGTCGCCATCTTTGAGGTCCCAGGTTCGATCCTCAGCCAGGTCAATATAGAAATTATTTTATCTTTATTGTCTCGGGTCTGGGTGTTTGTGGAACCACCGTTATTTACGGTTTCCATAACACAAGTGCTTTAGTTAGTTACGTTAAGTTCAGAGTATCGTATCTGATGTTGCGTATTAATATTTTTGCGTATTTATATTTAACAAATTTAACTTGGCCTTGGATTTGGAAAGGATATACATTGCTGAGAGACCTTCCATAAAACGTTTTTTTTCTGTCTTCGTTTTATTGCGTCTTCGACAGTGGATTGTATATTATACTTGATGCTTAATGTTTTCTATAAACTAAATCGTGGATTCTCACACTTAATGCCCTTATTCTGATTTAGAACTGAACTTATAGTCTTATTCTTATTGAAATCGTATTATATGTATATAAATAATGTGAGTGTTCAGCTAGAAAATTCGTCCAGAACAACCGCGATGTTCCTTTGACCACCATCCTCTTTTTTTTTTAATCTTGCTCTAAATGCAAACCCACCTTATTTTTTAGACAGTTCTAAATATAAAATAATAATACAATCTATTCAGCCCGCTACATCCCTCCTCACAATTGAAGGGGGATCTCACTAGAGCGCTACCTATGATAGGCAAATTTACATATGTGATCAGCCTTTACTACAGGCTAGCCATACACTGCTCGGAAGCTGTTACACTACTAAAGAACATAACTACCAAGGAGGCTATGGCTTTAATCTGCCAAAAACCTAACAAAAAGGGACAGACTGATCACGCCCTAAGCAAACAATTCATATATATTTTCTTACTAATCATCTTAGCTATTTAACTAAGCTTCATGCCTAGTTATTTGTTCAAGCTATAACCCTAGTTATTTATTTAAGCTATAACCCACTGACCAATTACTAATGGAGTCAGATTGGCTGATAAACTCATCCACATCGTTTATTCCAGAAAATTTCTGTGCTGCCATTTGATGTATTTACTTTCCTTCTTCATAACTAAATGAGGATAAAAGTATATTAAGTATAATGATAAAATAAAAATTACGACCTTATATTCTTCTTTCTTCTTAGATTCGTGGGCAATTTCCTCTCAAATTTTTCGCCTCACCACTTGTGGGAGAGTAACCGTGGTTATAGCGTAGAGAGAGGTACTATTTAATAACAAACAAGGAATATATTCATAATTAACTTTTTACTGTGGGCGTTCAGCTAGAAAATTCGTCCAGAACAACCGCGATGTTCCTTTGACCACCATCCTCTTTTTTTAACCGACTTCAAAAAAGGAAGAGGTTCTCAATTCGTTTGTGTTTTTTTGTATGTATGTTACGCTATAACTCCGCCATTTGTGGTCCCATTTAAATTTCAAGAAAATATTCCACCTCTAAGGGTGGCAAACTAGGGGATGAATGACTTTTGAGGTCGGATTTTTTAACCGGAGGTTAGGTTATTATCTAGTTCTAAATACAAACCCACCTTATTTTTTTACACCGTTCTAAATATAAAATAATAATATAATCTGTCCAGCCTGCTGCAATACCATGCCGTACGGCATATCATTAAGCCGTTAATGCGGGGTCGCCAAGTTCTGTTATCCTTGAATACGCTCTGTCAATAACTAGGAGGAGTTTCGGCCTTCCGTAACATACATGTAGTTAAAAAAAAACATCGAAATATTGTTTATCAATGAAGAAAATTTTTCCGCGGTTTTAAAAAATTACATTTTTTACAAGGATATATGGATTTATGTATCCGGGAGTATATATAATAATAAACTGCCTTTCTTGCCGAACGGTTACTATGCTGGATTGCAACGCAGAAGTCCCGGGTGGGATTCCCGGACCGGGAGAAACATTTGTAAGGCCTACATTTATTTCTTTCGTGGGTTTGGATGTAATATGTGGTTGTCTACCTATGTGTGTGTCCATGGCACCCGCGATACATGGTTTCCCTAGTATAACCGGACTGTATGTGAAAAAAAAAAAAATTAAAAAAAATACTCATTGTAAGTAATTTAAAATGAATTGCATATGCAGGAGACATCAAACGAAGACAAAGAACAATATTTCGACGTATCCATATTGCCTTTGGAAGAGACGGCAGGTGACGATGACGGCGCCATCCTCGGGAAGTTGCAGGTGGTGATGCACGACGCCAACGACCAGGAAGACGGCGATCGTAAGTGTTCCTACGTCACTCGTCTCTAGAGATATAAAATATAAAAGAGATATAAAAATCATTTATTCTCTCCCATTCACATACAATTTTAAAAATACATTCATGTGAGAACTTAACCGGAGACTGGTGCCCAAACTAGGTAGACCCTATGTCTTGGGACACCAGGTCTCCGACCCAGAATCATATTTAAATCATTTTAAGATGAATTACATATCGAGTTCTTAGGTTTTCGCGATTGTTACACATAGGAAATGAAACTATTGTTCCGGATTTAAATCGCGTATATTTGTTTTTTCAAACAAACCGACGTTTCGGGCCCTTTACAGGTCACGATTGACTGAGGTGGTCAACCGTGACCATGGGACCTATTATTATATAACTGGTTGAAGACTGTACCACCTCAATTTATTACATACTTAATGAAAAAGAAAAAATACTATGATATAAGGTTGATCCTAACTTAAGATAAGGTTAGAGTAAGGCTGCTTGTGCGTGTGTGTGTGTGTGTACGAGAGAGAGAGAGACAGAGACAGAGAGAGAGAGACAGAGACACAGAGAGAGAGAGAGAGAGAGAGAGTTGAGGCTAGCTAAGAGGGTGAATGTATTTATACTAGTACTAACATCAGTACATAAACTAATACTTTGACATAATATTTTACATCAGAATACAGAGTGTGTATCTACCGAAATTTCAAGGAAGAAATACCTACTTTAATAACTAGAAATAACGAAATTATTGGATATTTTTAGGGTCCAGGAGCGGTATTCTGTAATCGTTGAGACTCGCTATTCGATGTTCGTTATGCGGTTTTACGATGGTACCGATTTGTCGACAAATGCTATTTTGTACACTTCTTTAACCGATCATAACGACAATTTGGTTCCACACGTTCAGTAATTTTCGTTAAGATTCCATAATTTTATCGCCTCTTCGAGGGCACCCTGTTTACGTCGGTATTCTTAACGACGCGCTTTCGTCTTACATTTCACTGTTTGATATTTGTGTTTTGTGTGACTAAAGTGACTTGTTCTTGGCTGTGAGTTGTAATCACTTGTTTATGTCGTGTTGCCGCGATTGTAGAGGTTAAGATGAGCGACGTTTCCCTAGTAAATTCTCATCTCATCAGATATTTACCTTAAGGATGGAAAAGAATGAAGTAAATATTTACAAAACTCCAATTTGCTTACTTGTCGTGATGTATTATTGTATCTTATTATGAAAACTAACACGGTTATCACACATAATAATATAAAAGTAACGGTCAGTGCTAGACGTGACGCGGTTGCGAACGTTGCACTCAACCCCTGAAGAAGACCATCGATTATGGTCGAAACTAGTCGGACCGCTTCCGACTAAAATAATAAATAATAAGTCCCGTTACTTTTATATTATAATATTATTGTATTCGTCATTTTGCAGAAGTATTCAGAAAAAATAAACACAAACAGTACGGATCCCTTGAATGTCACAAACTTTGCACAAACTAAATAACCATAGATAAGAGTGTTTGTAAATAACTATTTGAACGCTCGATCGTGATTGGTCGAGAAACAGCCTCCCGTCGGGATGTTCCCATTTCGTCTTTTTTTTCGATATTGAAACGCTGACGTCACATCGCTGTCGGTAAGCGTCGGTTGCAGTAACGATTTTCGTTATCGTGGATTTACAGAATAGCATAATCGGTAAGTTGTCGATACGGCAACCGACGACTTTCACTATCAGAGCCATACCGAATCATAACGATAGCGATTACAGAATACCGCTCCAGGGGGCTACCGTTCTTCATTCGACATCCGCCTGAAACAATTACTGTCAAATAGGTACTAACTCGACTAAATTAAAGAACTCATGAAGCGAATGAAGCTTCATAATTAACGTTCTCTTTTGATTTAGTGAACTTATATTCCAGGGTGACGGGCGCAGTGCTCTTTAGATCTTTGCCTTTTTAAGTTCTGAGTGCCACTGCAACTGTTATGGACAGGCGTGTAGCTTACCATCAGGCGCACGACTTGTTCGTCCCGTCGCTTGATAATTAAAATAAAAAAAATTAAAATAAACGGGAGTAAACCACCAGCACCTGTTTGTCAGACCGGGGCTAACCGCTTTCCCAACTGAGGTACGGAACGAATCAGCAGACCACACGTATTCCTCGATGCTTAAAACAACTTTTTACTAAAGAATATTCCAATTTGCGCTACAAACTTTTTGCAAAACATTTTAACAATGTGTAACGCGCCCGAACCTTTATTACGTTACGGTAAAGTTGAATGTGTTTTAAATTTACAGAAACAATAGTAATGTCGGATGCGAATGGATCAATCCTGCGCGTAATGTCGGGGCAAAAGCTAGTCTATCAGAACGGAGAGATTACTTTGGTGCCTGATGACGAGAACTCCAACGCCGGGGACGATAATAACGAAATTGATGGAAATGGTGAGTTTCAGAGACGCCAGCTCAAGGAAGTTTTGAAAAATATGAAGTCACAAGTGAAATATCGCACATTGGTGAAAGAGTGCCTTAATTTAATTTTCATCACACTTGCTCGTAAATAGCATGATTTCATGGTGGCTAACTTGACTATAATGCCCCAGATAAAACCCTCGGGCCTTTTTTCTTTCCATTACAGCCATTGTCGGTAAGGAGCTTTTTTTTTTAATTTGTAGCACGACATACTTCCTTACATAGTTCAGTTTCAAGTTCAAGCAAGGAGTGACTATTTAAAATTATGTAAAAACTAGCAACCCTGCAAATGTCATTTTACTCCGTCTTCAGAAAAGGCAGACTATAGCTTTTGCAGCTTCTCACGATTACGATATTTCTGTAAATGATAAATGTGTACAAATATTTATTTACAAAGAGCAACCACTCTCACACATTTTTCAAAGGAATCTGCCTTACAAATGAGTAGAGTTCCATCGAATTGTGACGATTTCAAGTGTAATTTGCTTACTTATTATATAAAGATTGAGTTAGATTTAAGTTTCGAAATAGTAAGAAATTCGCTAATAGACAGAATAAAAGAACAGCAGTGACAGCTTGAAAATGATAGAATAATAATTGAAAAAAAATTGTGACCTGCATTTTTTAAAATTGATGTATAACAAAAGTATGGTAGACATGTTTAATTAATTGTCAGCAACACTGCGAAACTAAAAAAAGTCCAAAAAACAGCAACACTTAAACGCTAAATACAATTGGATAATTAGATTGTAACAATAATGACATTGACTTCTGATATGTCAATATATTTTGCATCATGGCATTGGCCACTAGTCAATTAGCCAAAACATTACATAAAAATCCGTTTCGTTCCTTGGGATTCCGTTCCGTTTTACCTTACATAGTATTAAAAATCCGTCAAAAAAATGTTTTTAATTCAGAATGTCTAGATTTTGAAAGCTCTTTATAAAAAACCAATGGATAGCCTGGTCTAATTTTGCATTTATTTTAGTACCACTAACGGAACAACTCTTGAAAACAACTCAGTACGGCCTTTGTAATTTATGTTACTCCGTTTTCAGAATCCAATGATGAATCTCAAATAGAGCTAGAAGTGGCTGGTGACGAAGAGACAGCAAACGCTATTATCGCCGCTGCACAAGAGCAAGGTGTGTGTCTATTTATACAGCTTTAAAGGCGAGAATAGAATAAAATATCGTTAAATAATTGATATAAGTGAAAAGTGTATAGCCCGCAATATACAGGCTGTATATTTGAAAGTGGGACATACTTATAGAGTGAGTTGTATTCCTGATTCTGTACCCAAAGAAATAATAAACTAATGAACTTAAACTTTACTTTATTTGGTTACCTTTTCTAAATAATTGCCACCTTTGATATATTCTGTCATTTCGTGCTACTGATGGGTAACCGTCACGGAGAGGTTTATCACACATATACTGTAATGCTACGGCCTCAGATTGCTGTACGATAAGAGTTGTGTTGCCTTTAGCAATAAATCTAGGATTGGCAAATGTAGAAGTACTACGATCTAGGATTGATCCTGAACTAGTTTAATAAATAACTTAATGTTTTATACTTACTTACTTATCAGGAGGAGCATTTATAAAAGTAGAATCGGGTGAGATGTTCCGAGTGAAATCAGTGCAAAGCACCACATCCTCCACATCGCAACCCTCCACTGAATCCTCCAGGATTGAATCCGCTGGGATTCAAACCTCAGAGATTGAAACCTTGAGGGTTGAACCAACATCACCCGAGCCGCCAACAGTACAAGTTGCAAAATGGGAGAATGGAGAATTTCGCTGCTTGCTCTGTAACAATACGAATCAGGTAACTGGTGTTAATGTTTATTACGTACAGTTTATTATTAATAATAATAATACTAAAGAACTTTATCTACACTGAATAAAGCAATGTACAAGTTTATCCTTAAATAACTTCGTGTGTAGTAGATAAAAAGGTCTCAACTTTAGCCGTTTTTCAGACTCCACCCTTTTGAATCTTAAGACTACATAATTTAACAAAACCGACCACTTTCGTCTTTATAATATATGCTATAAGAGATTCTTTAACGTGTTAACATTTTGTATGGTCTATAAAAATATAATATCTTCACTAATTAGTCTAGTGTATTTACTTAAATAAGTGTTATTTAATTATTAATACAAAGGTCGAACACTCAAAACAAATTCCTTCGATCCGGCCGAATTCGAAGCGACGTCTTCTAGCAAACCGTGCCAGACGTTGTGCCAACTAAGCCACGGAATGAACCAGTTAACCTCACGAATTTTTCTATGTGCTTGTTTTTGTTGGATCTTTGTATTTGATTTTCATCGACTTTTTAGCCGTAGCGCCATCTATGAGAAATATAGGAAAGTGTCATCACCCAGTTAGGTAACTTTACAGCTACCAGTCGTGGCTAGGCTAATTTAAAGGCTATTTTGTCGGCTAATTGCAAGAAGTCATTAAATTGCCATATGAATCATATGGCAAACACTAGGCTTTTAATGTACGTAATTTCGATATTATCGTATCGTAATTTTTATGAAATTACTCCTGGAGTAATTTCACAAAAAATCTTTCTCATAGATGAAAAAAAGATTTCTCATAGATGGCGCTACGACTAAAAAATCGTTGAAAAACCAAATACAAAGATACGACGCAAGCACATAGAAAAATTCGTGAGGTCCGCTGGTTCGTTCCGCGGCTTAGTTGGTATAGCGTCTGGCACGGTGGCACGGTAAGATAGAAGACGTCGGTTCGAATCCGGCCGGATCGAAGGAATATTTTCTGAGTGTTCGATGTATTAATAATTAATGTATTAATAATTATAACAAACTAGTGGAGTAATTTCACAAAAAATAATTGAATATCGATTCAATGAAAATTTAAAAGACTAGTGTAGCTAGAACAGAAATAACACAAGAAACAGCGTAAAAAAACATTTAAACAACAAGTTACATAATACTATACTGACATGTGTGCGGCTGTGGCGTGTACAAAAGGATCCCATTCAGCTAAAGTCACAGCCAAGGCTAGGTTGTGGCGCTGGTTTTCAATGGGCCCTAGCCCAGTGAGTGAGAGTGCGTCCCGAAACAGAAAATAAAATAAAATAAACTACGTAAATACTTCTATCATGAGTATGTATAGTGTTATTGCAGTGTGTACTCTTACATCGAATAAATACTTACATAATCATTGCAATATATATATACAGTTATAAGTGTGTGTAGTGTGAAAACAAATTAATAAAATATTTAATACATATTTAAAGTACATTACTTGAAATATATTTAACAAGATTATCTATTTTCGTAAAATAAAAGTTCTTTGACTTCAACATTAAACAACTATTGTTCTTACGCAGTTACTATTTCGAATAATGCTATGTGAATTAACATGTTTAAATGTTTATGATTATTAAGGTAAATAAAAATATACAATTAAAATAACGTATCACTGTTATAAATATAATTTCATTATCATATTTTATTAGAAGTAATTCAATTGACCCTAAGTACACCCAAAACTAACGAGATAAATAAATGTAGGTCATACAAACATTTATCGCAGCCCGGGAATCGAACCTCTGCGTGGTGGTCTAGCAAGGCAACCGCTCGGCCACGAAGGCATGTAAATAGTAAATTAACGACCTAATGTAAACTTCTACCTTTCAGGAATCTCCAACAGTGGACGCGGAGGTGATCATGTTCCACCTGCGAACAGTACATGATGCCAGGGTCTATATCTGCCAGATCTGCAAGAAGTTTATGCGAAAACGGACTGATTATACAGCACATTTGGGTGAGGCTTTTGTATTGTTATTGAAATTATCACCAACATCGTTAACCCGTGTATGTGCAGATATGTACAACCGGGGTTTTAAATTTGCGGTGTTAACCCATTAATGTTTAGAACCCCGACACTTTGGGTAAAATCCGGTTAAAACCTGGGCGGGGTACCATTCTCTCGGAGCGTAGGATTGTTACATTATAATATATAATTATACAGGATAATGGATAGGAAAATTCAAAAAGGTCACGTGCACTGCATCTATTTACTCACAACATGTATGTATATATCAGTTATAGTTAGTAATGCAACATGTTAGGTATGGTCGACCCCCGGCGTTCATCACACGGACCATGGAACACAGGTTAAGAAACTCTGCTTTAGGGGTTGCTTTTTGTAAATAGATGTTTATTGACTATCATTTACAATATTTATTTTTTATAAAAAGTATTGTATCCAACTGCAAATCCACTGCTGATGCCGTCGAAACACTAGTGTGACCAACTCTTAGGGTTTTATGCCAGACTCCTAAAAAAAATGGATTTAAATAACTTATTTGGTATCCTTTTTTTATAATTCAAACGACAGGACGAACAAATAGTCCGCTTGCCTATTCATTAGCGACACGCCTCGCCATAACACTTGCTATGCCACTCAGAGTTTTAATGAACTGCCGCTGCACCTGTCGCCCTGAGACACGTCTGATGTGGCTGTAATTTAACCAGCACCCGTGCCTTTCAAAATCAGAACGCAGTATGGTGGCGGTACTTTCTTGGACGAACTCTTTCCCAAGAAGCTCTACAAGCTACTACCTCGCACAATCCACTATTCAAGTGTTGTATTCTCTATACCGCAGAGGAACACGCACTAAAACTAAATAAGCCCACGGACAAAGCCAAGATCCACGAATGCAACATCTGCAAGAAGAAATTCACGTCTCGAATGTTGTTGAACGAACACATGAACATACACAGCGGGAGCAGGCCGTACACGTGTACCGTCTGTAACAAGTCTTTCGCCTCGAAATACACGCATCAGGCCCATCTGAAGACGCATTTGGTGAGTATCGATTCAGAGACCGATTTTAATCAAGTGTGTTTTCTCTTTTGCATAGAAAATATGTATTCTCTCGCTCAACCAGAGCGTCTGTCCATGGATAATAATAATAGAAATAAAGAAACGTTTATTCAGCAATATTAATATTTACTTCGAAGAAATTAAAGATAGATAGATAATGCACTTTATTGCTGACACACAAAAAAGAAAAACAGTACAACTTAGAATTAATGTGGGCAAAGGCGACCTTATAAAGCGATGTCTTCCAGACAACTTTTCAGGCAGAGGAGAACTGAACAGAGAGGGAGACGTAGTGTGCCAGTGGTAAAAATTTAAATTAAAGTGTGTGATTAAAAACTTACACTATCATATTATGAAATAATAAGTGACCATTATATTATATATCTACTTGTATATTTATAAAGATTACAAATACAGGCTGAAATGGGTCAAACTCAGCATATGTCACAGCTCGACTGCTGCAATGCTGGTTTTCAGTAGGAGCCACTTTAATGGGATGAAATGGCACGAAAGTACCTACTAATGTTAGCTAACACTAAACCAACTCTACTACTCCTCGCCTCTGTGGCCGAACGGTTACCATGCCTGACTGCCACGCAGAGGTCACAGGTTCGACTCCCAGGCCGGTAGAAATATTTGTATGGCCTACATTTATTTCTCTCGTGCGTTTGGGTGTAATTTGTGGTTGTCTATGTATGTGTCCATGGCACCCGCGACACAGGGTTTCTCTAGTGCGGGGCTATGTTGAGTGTGTGCGTTATTATTATTTCAACATATATCTTAAAATTAAACTAAAAATACGATATAGATGGTAAAATTACTAATCATAGGAAATTATTAAATACCAAATCAAAGCCGCGTAAATGTCGTGGCAACCAAATTAGCGTGATTTTCGGGAATCTATTGGTATCAGTCCGTAGACAACATAAATTAATGCTTACTGTGCAAAAATAAAAGTCGTAACCATTGAAATAACACAGTAATAACGTTAAGTCCCTCTCCTGTGAAATTTGGTTTGGTACAGATACGCGCATATTACCAATACTACATACGCTGATTTGCACTATCACCGACGATATATTGTATTGTTTTTATGAAATGAAGTACTGCACTTGTTTGACATTTTTCAGTCAGTTATCTAGCCGCTTAGTTGGAGCTCTAGATAGTGCTGTTTTATCTTAACTCTAAAGGATTTAATGGATGAGAGGTTGTGCAGTGAAGGGGGATATTATTCCAAATTTAAGCGACCATATATTTGAAACTACCCGTATAGGCAATAACAATGTGCCAGACGACTACACCGATTGCCTGGTCTCAAACTTGGAAATTCCCTGTACTATTAACAGCCAGACTAGAACCACTTTAGAAAAGTTAATTTTCCAAATTGGTTCTACCGGGTACCTAACCCGGGAACTTGTAATCTAGCGCCCACAGGACAAACTGTTGAGCCACTGAGGACGTTAATTTATTACGCTCTATTTGCTGTGTTGACGTAAAACGTTAAAAACAGTCACGATAGAAATGAACGTAATTAATTACGTAACTATAGAAATCGATCAATGTAATGAAAGAGGTTTAAGGGAACGAAAGAGAGAAAAAGAGGTTAAATAAAAAATACTAATGGCATAATAGAATCTGAATTTTTTGCATTGTTACAATAAGTGTTTTACACGAACTTGTAACTACATTTTTATCGATTACTGTAACGGAAGATATCGATCACAGTAATGGAAACGATCGATCACCGTAACCAAAGTGTGGCCCCAACTGATTTTGTTTAAATATAAAGCACCACTCATTCGCAATGCTGTCGATTTTCAGGAGCGTCCTCGTCCGTTCAAATGCGAGCAGTGTTCGAAGACATTCTTCACTCAGCAGAACTTGACTCAACACGAGAAAACACACCTCGGAATCAAAGACTTCATTTGTAATGTTTGTGGTAAGTATACTTTTTCGGCTAAAAGTTTATGAACTAAGTTACTGGGTATGGCTCCGACAGTTTCATGAAGGACATAAATATTTACTTACTTTTCGATGTAGACCAATTAAGTTCTCTCCTGGACCTTGTAGTTCCAAAAAATGCAAAATACATAAATAATAGTTTATTTCTCGCAGCATTACAAATTTCACACAAATACAATCACATGTCTTTTTATATTACTCTTCGAAAAGTGAGCGTCAGTTTACAAAATAATGAGAAATAATTGTATAATAGTAAGTCATAGTCCACAATAGTGTATATATGCAAATCAAGAATTAATGAAACTAATAAATAATTGAATTGAACTAACAGTGTCAAGTGTAGGTACTATAAACAATCATAGATAATTACATAGATCATATAACACAAAAAACGGAACAACGATAATAACAAAAAATATAAAAAAAATTCTAGTTAAAACAAATGAGCAACAAAAAACATATGCTAATTACATAGCCCTCGTGGGGACCTCTCTGCCGTCATAAAATAGAATATCACATTCAAAACATATATTTTGATAAAAAAAAATTAATTAGAAATCCTTCTAAAATGGTTCTAATTTAGGTATTATGGATAGTGGCTGTACCATTGTGCATGATTTCGGTTCCCTCTATGTTTTTTTATTACATTTGTTAAGTAATAACATATATTTAACTGCCTCTGTGGCCGAACGGTTATCATGCCGGACTGCCACGCAGAGGTCCCAGGTTCGATTCCCCGGCCGGGAGAAATATTTGTATGTTTTACATACAAATATTTATTTCTCTCGCGAGTTTGGGTGTAATTTGTGGTTGTCTATGTGTGTGTCCATGGTACCCGCGACACAGGGTTTCCCTAGTGCGGGGCTATGTTGATTGTGAGCGTTATTATTATATTATTATTTTTAAGCATTTTTCTCATTGCACACAAAACACAACTAAACGCATTCATTATACATTTTGACAACACTATCCTCCCTCTTCCCCGCCCCCCGGTGCCTCGAAACTGTCGCCTGAGTTCAAAAACTTAGACAACCAGTGTACGCGAGTAATACTCAAAATAATCCGTAAAAACTCTTTCAATACATTTAAAATTCGCTTAAACCATATTCGCAATTCAAAAAGTGTAGACATAGTACTGAGACTAAAATAAAACTGTGACACTATAATAAAGTCAATTGCTGGACGTGCAAGATAGGCATCGTAAGTCCTGGCTCCTCCAGATAGCGCTGACTAAATTAATGTTTGAGTGTTTATGGTATAGGGGAATTCCTTCGGCAAATTATTTAAATATACAAATCTGAAATGAAACTATTTTTCCGGATTTAAATCGCGTATATTTGTTTTTTCAAACAAACCAACGTTTCGGGTCCTTTATAGGTCCCATGGTCACGGTTGACTGACTATGGGACCTGTAAAGGGCCCAAATAAATCCGGAAAAAATAGTTTCATTTCCTTCGTGTAACAATTATATATACAAATCTGGCTTTTATAGATAGAAATAATACTTTGAACGTTCTTAATCTAAGGTTAATTTCACTTAAATCAACATATTAGACTTCGAAGAAGGTGTACCTGTGATTGCTTGAACGTGAGACTCGGTAACAGATGTGGTCGTCTGCCCGCAGGCAAAGCGTTCGGGACTCAGCACAACCTGGAGGTGCACGGGGTGGTGCATTCGGGGAACAAGCCGTTCGTGTGCGGCGTGTGCGCCAAGGCCTTCGCGCGCCGCGCAGAGGTCAAGGACCACATGAGGATCCACACGGGTGAGGCCCGCAGTGGTGGCGGTGACCCTGGGATTTTTAGCGGTGAAAACTGCATATTGAAGGTCTTCAATCCGTGTGCGAACTATGAACCCTCTCTTTAGAGGAGATCCGTGCCCAAAAGTGGGTGTCAGTCAGCCTGGACCAAACTGGATGTATGAACCAAACTAGGCGCATTATTTACTACGTATTTGGCTACTACTTGTTATCTACAATAAAATATATGCTACCTTTGCGTTAATTATTAAATTAAAGAAATTAAGTGGCCAGCCATTCTGACGTCAGGTTGGCTGATCACTTTTATTTTCTCTAAGAATAACGATTAAGTAAAAATTAACTATATCTGTAATACCGACAAAAAGGATCTTGAGGTGCTTTTCCACAGGCAATGTGAGACGAGACGAGGATTGAAATTTGTATGGCAAAACTGTAATTCAAATAATATTGAACCATATTGCTGCCTACATAGAGTTATTTTACTATAGTATATGTATATTTTTGATACTACTATTTACTATCTACTTCCTCAAACGTTTCTGGTAATCGTCTTTTCCGAATAATTGTTAATAGTTTCGTAGGCGCTTAGTGCCTCGCCAAGTATGGCTTCTGGACTGCCTTTGTTAGCAACATTTAATATTCATACGAGTTACTCGTCAAACGACTCTCGAGACATGGATTGAGCCACGGCTTCCCTCGCAGGCGAGCGGCCCTTCGTGTGCGGGCGCTGCGGCGCGTGCTTCGCGCAGCGCTCGAACCTGCACTCGCACACGCGCGCCACGCACCTGGACGACAAGCGCCACCAGTGCCAGCACTGCCCCAAGCGGTTCAAGCGCCGACGGTGCGAAGCGCTCTTTCTGTATCTGTTTAACTGCCTCCGTGGCCGAACGGTTACCGTGCCGGATTGCCACGCAAGGTGCCGGTTCGATTCCCGGGCCGGGAGCAATATATGTATGGCCTACATTTATTTCTCTTGAGAATTTGATTGTAATTTGTGGTTATCTGACTATGTGTGTGTCCATGGCATCCGCTGTACAGGGTTTGCTTAGTATGGAGTTATGCTTGAGTGCTTTGTTATAAATATCGATTTTGTTATATCATTTGCACCTCTTTGCAATGTAAATACAAAGTATATATACGCGATTGTTACACATAGGAAAATAAACTTTTTTTGTCATGGTCACAGATGACTCTGATGCCATTTTTTTTTCAACACACTCATGGTAAACCTGTGTCGCGGATGCCATGGATCACACATAGACAACCACAAATTACACCCAAACTCACGAGAGAAATAAATGAAGGCCAGTATACATTTTGTAACTTACAATAAAAACTATAAATATATTGACAATGAAATAAATTGATTCCAATTCGCTCAGTTTGATGTTGCAATTTTCACAGCCAGTTATCGGTAATAAATACATCATCTCGAAGTTAGAAACAAAAAATAAACGTAAAATATACATAATAAAAATACTCAACTTGCAGGCTCCTGGACTACCACATAAAGGCCTCTCACACAGGCGAACGCCCTCTGGAATGCGAGCTGTGCCACGCCACATTCGTCTACCCGGAACATTATAAGAAACACACAAGGATACACAGTGGGGAAAAACCCTACGTTTGCGAGGTAATGTTCTTATATAAAACCATAGATTGGTAATTCACATAAACTATAATTAGATAAATATACTTATTATAAAAAAGAAAAAGTCGTTTATACACTCACCGGCATTTAGTGGAATACTTGTAAATTCCTCAAAATATTGCAGTGATTTTTCAAAAGCGTGATCAGTTATTTAAGTTTCTTATTTTGATTTTGAGTCTAATTTGGAAATAAATAAAAAAAACCAACCTCAAAGTTCTTGGAAAAAAAATACAGTCGAATAAACCTCATCTTTTTTTAAAGTCGGTTAAAAATTAATCTGTCATTTTTAACCGACTTCAAAAAAGGAGGTTCTCAATTCGACAGTTTCCGCTATCCAATTTCATGATCGATAAAAAAGGAACTTATACTGGTATGAGGAAACTGTCCGATATAATAATATATATCTTGTGATGAGTGAAGTTTTGACGGTAATTAAATTTAAAAAATATTCGCTAATTTTGTTTTTATTGCAGAACACGCTCTGATTAACCGCGTACTATTTTGTAAAGAAGAACAATATTATCAAAGATATATTTTTTTGGTAATATTGTTTTTATCCTATGTTACCACCTGCCTGTTACTAACTTAACTTTGTAGATTTCGTTGCTATATAAATGTAATATTTTTTTTACATTCAAAATGGCATAACCACAAACAGTTGCCTATAAAAAATAACAAGAATAGAAAAAAAAAACAAATTACGAATTGTAACAATATGAAACAAAACACGAACATAATATACCTTGCATGTTTCGGCGACCGCCGTGATGGTGTGGCGTACACGCCGGTTTTCATAATGTCACTATCTCAACTGACTTTTCTATATTGTCTCGGGTCTTGTTGTTTGTTGTACCGTTGTTGTTTCCGATTTCCATAACATAAGTGCTTTAGTTGTTTACTTTGAGATCACAGCATCGTATTGTTGCATCGAGTATATAACCAGAAATAGAGGCGAAAAGTCATTTAATTTGTTTAAAAACTATTCTGCCACATCATTACTTTAAAACGCTAAGAGTATTGCCCCTCCCATGCCTGTACATTTTCGAAGTTGGTATATTCGTGAAACGAAATCTATCGAAATTCTTAATAGCGAAGGACGTAACATTCAGAAGCCTAAGGAAGCCCAATAAAGTCGTACTAAATACAATACCCAAAACAAAACGTTTTCTAAATAACTCGTATGTAATGTGTGGAAAAATTTTTAATCGTATACCAGATCGCATTAAGCCTCTACCATTGACTAATTTTAAAAAGGAATTGCGCATGTGGCTCTTTGATCATTTATTTTACTCTATTGACGAATTCATGAATCATAAAGAATAATTAATTGATGCATACATTTTTCCCATCATTAAAAAAGAAATATATATATATTATTATTAAATTATGACATACACGATTCTGACATATCAAATTAAATCAATTATCTTAAATTTATCAATTTGTTGCCTAATTATTGTTTTAAAATCGAATCTCAATCCACCAATGTATTATTTTATTATTGTATTTGCATGCTTTTATTTTAGAAGGCCGAATAGGTTTAAGTTCTGATTTAATTTTTACCATCAACATGTGTAATGTACCCTACCCTATTTGAAGCGAATAAATGAATTATTATTATTACTGTGACAACTGCGCTCCGATTGGCCAGCCCGAGTTCGAAACAATTGACGGGCGTCGTCAACTGCTTCACTTCAAATCGACCAGTTAACTTGAGCTTTGCTATAATGGACCTAAATTGCAAAATTACATGTTTAATATTTAATTACCGATGAAATTTGTTTCCGTTTGTTTTGTAGTTAGACGTTTTGCTATTTTTCCCACACCACCGAATAGAACAGCACGGCTTGTTAGTGATATTATCTTTACTACAATAAATACAGAATATTTTTTGGAATATACGGAGACGTACACACGGGTCAGTAGTTGGCCTGTCTATATTTCAGTGCAAACGGGAGTTGATATTTACAAGAGCTGTATCGCTAATGTGTTACCAGGAATATATGACCCTTATTTCGTCTCTATTTCTGGTTATATACTCGATGAATTGTTGTCTAATATGGTATTCGCATACAAAGATGTTTCAGATTCAAAGAATAACTTGTCAGCTTTGAAATATATTTTGTTCATGTCCCTAAGGTGTGTGGCAAGTCATTCAATTCGCGGGACAATCGCAATATGCATCGTTTCGTGCACAGTGACAAGAAGCCCTACGAGTGCCTCGTCTGCGGGGCAGGTTACATGAGGAAGCAGCTGCTGTACCAGCACATGAACGCTAGCGTAAGTGTGCTATTAAAATAACACCTTTTTAATTCAATTTCCAAATGTTTTGCGTTCCACTGCTGGGTGCGGGTCCATTGACCCGTATCGGTACCGGTTTGAAGATTTCGTTATAATGTTTTTCTTCACTGTGTAGAGTTCTCCAAACACTCCAATAAAACGCCATGTTAACCAAACTGATTTATTAAATTATCTATTCATCCAACAATTTATATTAGAACTTTAAAATATACTCCACAAAATATCGAACCACAAAATACCGTTACAATTCCTGACAAATCTAACTTGAACATTTGATGCAATACGTATACATAAATTTTTCTTTCTTTTCTTTCACCTAAAGACATTGCTTCCTAAATCCCTTCTTTTCAATTCCCGCCATTTTTTCTCAAGTAGGGAATTTTAAAAGCAATGTCATTGGCTATTTGAACCAGTAGATAAAATGTTCGGACCAATCACAATCAACTCCGACGCGCCTAATAATATCAATTAACAAACTTTTAAATGAATGTATGGAATAAGCTTATTTACCCTTATAATATTTGAATAAATAATTAATGAAAATTTTTTATATTTTACGATTATATATTTCTTCAACTGTAAGAAGATTTTTTTTGTTTATAATATTAAGTAACGGGACGAACAAGTCGTGCGCCTGATGGGAAACTACACTCCTGTGCATAACAGTTGCAGTGCCACTCAGAGCTTTAAATCGCAAAGATCTGATGGGCATTGTCACAACGCCTGTCACTCTGAGATATAACTTGACGCTCAACGGCTCTCGCGTTAACAAGTTAACGCTCAAAAACAATCATCATCGTCATACCGGAAGACGTCCACTGCTGAAGATTTCCTCACTTAAAGATTTCCAGATAGTAACAATGAGAAACAAAAATTCTGTAGTTATCACTGCTACCGCTTACTGGCGAATATTTGTTTGACGTTTAATATTGATATTTTGTAACAACATTTATGTAATAAACACCGCGTTTTTTTATTACAGGGTCACTTAGCTGAGTCGATAGTGGTGAACCAGCCGCGGGTGCAAAAAGTCGAATCTATAGGTGCTGCCTCAAAAGCCAAAGTACAAAAAGTAGATAAGGTATGTTTTACATTATTGCTACATATTAGTTTGACACGTACACATAAATACAAACGCAAGCACACACGTCTTTTAAGGCTGGTAAACTCTGTAACAGCAATAGGGCAAACACCTTAGCAATTCATAGCTGACTATGGTATATAATGACGTTGAATATATGAGTACCTCGGCGGCCCAAAGGTTTGCACTATGGGTGCTGGCTGGTCGTGTTCGATTCCCGGCAAGACTGAGGGTCGTATTCCAGAACTCTACTCAATACTCAAGTCAGGACTAGAGTATTGCAGTGAGCACTGAAAATCATACTCAAGTCCTTGCCATTAGGGTCGTATTTCCAGTGCTGGAAATCATATTCAAGTCTGATCAAATCCTGACTTGAGCATTGAGTAGAGTTCTAGTATACGACCCTAAGATTCTGCTCTGAGTAGTGCCCCTGAGTGAATTCTGTTGCTCTGTATGGTACACGGTACCATGAGTACCAGATTCCCTATTTTCAACCCAGGCAGGTTATTGTAATAAATGCATGTTATATATAATATTTTAACGTCTCGTTTAACGTTTTTTTTGTAATTTAGTATCGATTGTAACCACTTAGCAAGTTAACTGTTAATCGAAATAGCTTTTTTTATTTATTTTAATGCTCATCCAATCTTTATATAATTCACAACGCAACTATAACACAAAATTCTTTTTTATTCTATTGTCTACGATGAACGTCTTATTAGCAGTTTTTTTCATGGCGATTTTTTTCTTTTTCAGGCACCACTAAATATAATTAGTGACGATTTGGTATGTATTACATACTTATTTTCTTTTTATAGTATACCCCAATGTAAATATGTAGATAATATAGTTTCAAATAGTACCTACTTCCTTTAGAATATTGAATATGTTTTTCTCAAACATGCTGGGAAATGTTTGCATTACTGTAAAAAAAGAACCCACTAAGTTTGTAATTTATATAACGTGCTTTTGCCGGACTCGTAAATCCCTTTCTGTACGCTCTTCTAAACTTTTAAATATATCCACTAACAAAGAGCTATTCTATGTAAAGAAAATCTGTCATACCCACATCGGCGTCCGTAATTGTGAGAATGAAAAAAAAAGTTTATAGTTTGTGGTTGCGTTTAATTATACCTGCACCATATACGTTAAAAAAGGCGGCAAAATTAACGAAAGTACTTTGGAATTCTTTTTATTTATTCTATTTTTTGGTATTTTTCATATTTTCTTCGCAAAAATGCGTTCTAGTGGGAAGAGCGAAATTACAATAGTGGACTGTACTCCGTCGAATTTAAAACAAGAAACAAAATTCGTAATAGAATACTAGTTCGTGTACTTATTGTATTAAACATTCTCCTTCATTATTTAGTCTTTATTTCCTCGCATTGTATGAGAAAAGCATTTTATATACTTCGGCGAGTATGGGGATTGCCTGCCTCGTATAAGGCGAGGCTTATTCAAGAATTTTTATTATTTGTCCCCGAATTCACTAATAAATTTGGTTTTTTTTTAAACGATTTGCAATATCCACCAAAAATCTTGATCGATTTGGACTCTAAACTTTCTATAAAAACAAAATGGCCGAAATTGTTTTTATTAATGTAGTTTTATTACGTAAGAAAGTCACATCACTTGTCGAGCGACCATGCAATAAAAGCAAAAAAACGTGCATCTCTCATCTCTGCTCTTACTGCATGGACTTGAAACTTTTTTATCAGTCCATTTCACATAGGATGGGTACTGTGACTTTTGAATTGCAGTATATAAAGTACATAGATACTGAAATGAAAAAGAGAAAAATAAATTATCCCAACTATTGATGCGTAAAACGGAATATTTATCCATAGACATTTAGACCATAGAATCGATAATCAAACCTTTAATGCTGGTCTTTTTCTTTTGTTTTGATCTTTGCGTGATGTTGAAATGAAATGAAATGAAATATTTATTCGCAAGCAAACACGGTAAGAAAAGATATTATTATACAAGGTGTCAAGAACACGTGTTGCACCAGATACTGGCACGCAAATATTAAAATAAATTGAAGTTAAATAATGTCATAAATTTAAATTATACAATTTGTCAAACAAGCAATGTCGTATAAAATTAAGTCAAAAAGCCAATAAATAGCAACAGTAACAACATCATAAATTAAACAATATCAAAGAAGTAAGAACAGCACAAATATGAACAAAGTGTCAAATACAAACAAAATGTCAATTTCTTTTTATTATTAAAAAATCTTTGATATCGTATAAACACAGATCACATAGCAAATCAAATAACTTTTTTTTTAATATTTTGATAGGTAAATCTGCGATAGCTGCAGGCAAGGCATTATATATTTGTATGGACATGTTATAGCAATTCCTGTTAAAGCAAGTAGTCTTATGGGAGGGGCCAGCTATACGGTTTGGATATCTAGTTAAAAAATTACATACTTCACGTTTCCTAGTAAATAAGACCAAGTTTTTTTTAACAAACATGCGTACCTCATATACGTACATGGCGGGAAGCGTTAGAAGATTTAGCTTTCTAAAAAACGGTCTACAAGATTCGAGCGGACCTGCTCTACATATAGCTCTGACACATGTTTTTGAAGTAATTGTTTAAATTTTGTTTCGTTGTTGTTGATTCTAGATCTAGTTGATTGAGATCGTTACTGTTGAACCTACTGCACCATACTACGCTTCTAGCGCTGCTTCCTTATTGGAATTGCGCTTTAGAACGTAACATGTAGTTGTTGCACCCTGAGCCGCTTCCTAATTGGAACGTGTATACGGGTCCTCGACTACGTGCCGATTAGGGGGAGTCCTTTCCCACTGTAACACCGACGTTGTACATACTGTATATGTCGTCTATTAAAACCACCCTATTAGAAAAAAACTTGATTTCCCTCTGTCACCCCAATAAAAACTTACTACAATACTTTTTATTTTGTTTATTATTTGTTCTTAACTATTGTCTCTAAAACAATCCTCTTTTCGTTACAAACTATTTCGATAACATATTGTAGGAGTAGGTTTGTTACCTCTATCTGTCGATTCGACTCGCTCCCGAAATACGTAAAATTTTAACTGAATAAAATATATGCAGGGAATTAAAAAAGGTACGCGAAAACTAATGAAGAATATTATTTGATAGGTTAATTATGAAGCTTTACTAAAATAATTAAATATATAAGTACAAAATACGAAAGCACTACGAAGCTAGCTATTCGCGCGCGTTAGTCTCTCAAGCAAGAAGCAAGCAGAGTGTGCAGCGAGGGGACCGCCGCAGCGGAGAACACTAGCTGGGTCTCGAAGCGGGGCGGCAGCCTCGTTACGGTAGCGATGATGGTGTGACGCGTGTGCGCCGACGTCACTGATCGTAGGATCTCGAGGTGTGGCCTCAGTTGCATGAGCGGTAGCGTTTCGCTCCATCTTGTATGGTGGCGTTACAAGTTATAATGTGCGCCGCAATATTTAAACCGATTTTTTTTTCATTCAATTTTACTTCACTACATCTCTAGCAAATTCAAATCTCAAACGTCACCGTTACCCATGCTATGTGAAATGGACTTTAGCATTAAATATTTTATTAAATTAAAAATATTTACATTACACATACTTAAATCACGTTACTTTTGAATATGACATAATTGCCATTATCTTTTATACCTTCCGCTCGAGGCGTCTTAGTTTAGATATTAGTTTATTTAATTTGTTACAGATATTAGATACTACTGATGCAAACGCAGTTGCAGCCAAATCGATAGGTAAGTTACTGAACTTACTATAACCAGTCTATTACTCGCACATGTCAGACTTTAATGGTAGTTTTCCACCGGCGAGGCGTGACGAGACGAGACGAAAGTAGAAATCTCACCGAACTATTTCCACCAAAAACTGCCACTAATAGCTCGCGCTGTGGTTGTGGATAGTGAAGATTCAGTGCCGATCAGTTCATCTAGCGGTAAATACGCGGCTGAAGTAACAGGTCCCGTAAATTATCAAGTAGCAGTAGAACTCCTTGTGAAAGAGTTCGTCGAAAAAATTTTATTATTAAACAATATGTTAACGGAAGAATAATTAGATGAGAGAAAAAGGAGGAGGTTCTCAATTCGACTGTACGTTTTTTGTTTGTATATATGTTACGCGATAACTCCGGTGTTTGTGAACCAATTTTCATAATTCTTTTTTTGTTGGAAAGAGGGTACCTCCATAGTGGTCTCATTTAATTTTGAAGAAAATCATCCAGCTCTAAGGGTGGCTGTTCACGCATGAAGATTCATTTTTATAAATAGCGCCTAAATTTTACTATAATGAGCAATTATTTTAATGGTTAATTTTGCTATTCTTTAATTCAAGGCGTTTTTCTCTCTCAATTTACTTTAAGTGGTGAGAACCGATTATTATTATCTCCCGTGTAATAGGGGATGATTCCGGGTTTGCGCACTTTCCGGTAACCGATTGCCACGTACTTTTGAGGTCGGTTTTTTTAAATCTCAAATCGTATGTACCCCACGCTCTCGCGACTGATATTAATAGCCATCGCGAGATCGCGCAAGCTTGCGCGCGAAATTGTACTTCCGTTAAAAAGTATAATACTTTATGTTGACAGCAATACGGTTCAATATTACATAAACAAATATTTCAATTCTCACCCCTCCCAACCTCGTTAACCCAGACCATTTCCACCGAGGATGGGCTAGGAGAGATTTAAAATTTTGTCATGCAAATTTCAATCTTCGTCTCGCCTCGCCTCGCTGGTGGAAAACCACCTTAATTTACATTGCCGCGGAAAGGAGTGTAAGCGAATTTTTTATAACGAAATAGTGCATACACATCATAATGAACTTGTGTTCATTGTGTAACGTACAAACTAAATACTATCCGGATGTAGTATCCTGATAGACCTCGTAGTTGACACACTATTATTATTTGCACTGCGCGTGCGGTCAAAACAGTTCAAAAAGTTTTTTTTTTTTCAGATGCAGACAATGAAACTACAAAATACTATTATGAAATTACTGACGACAAGAAACAAGATGGTACGTTGTTAATTATTAACGTATGTATGTGTCAGAGGCAACGGCCCACAGAGCAATAAATACTGTAGTTGTGCTTAAGGGGCGCGTCGCGTGGGCCAACGTGGGGTTCGGCAAACGTGAGGTCAATCCGCCATTTTCGATTATAAGGTCGTCAATTGGTAAAAAATGTCAAAAATCGTGGAAAATGCTTTGTTTTACTACTTTAGAGTGCAAAAATTATAGTCGTATCTATAATATAATCCATGCTGGTGTTTTATATCATCGTTAAAACTTATTTTAATAAATTTTCCATTTTTTTTAAACGTAATCGATTTTTTGTTATAAGAAATGATAGTAAACCTTATGCCGCTGCAATATAGTTGTTTTTTTTAAGAACGTTAATAACCATAATTAAAACGTTCGTTCGTCCTTCAGCTTTTGCAGCTAGATGGCAGCACATTGAAATTGAAATTTCAATATAAAATCAAAATGGCGTAACTTGCAATAATAGGTGTTGAACTTACAACGATATTTATTTATTAAAGTTTATTGACGTACAACACGTTCCCGTTTTGAAGGGTAAGGGTGCTGGTGAAATTACAGGCACATGGGACTTTTCCACTCATGTCTCAGGGTGACGGGCACACTAGCAGTGCCCCACAGATCGTTGCGATTTAAAGCTTGAGTGGCACCACAACTGTTATGGGTAGGCGTGTCGCTTACCATCAGGCGCACGACTTGTTCGTCCCGTCACTAAATAAAAAATTGCGGACTTAACGCTAAAAGCTTTCTATATAATGTTTTGAGGAAAACGAAATTCACGAACGCGGCAATTTAACAAAATATTTTGATAATAGTGTAATAATAACAAAAATGTAATAAATATAGCTGTATTCATGAGTACAGTGAGGAGTTCGTCTGTAGCATACATCAGCTACCTTGTGTTTGGATTCATATTCGTTTTGATGAGGACTATATATCTATCTGCTGCTAGTAAAGTTTTGAAGTCGTTTTCTTATTAACAAAGAAGTTCTAGTTATTGAAGAATAAATCATAATATAATTACTATAGAGGTGCGAAAAAAATCTAATTTATACAACTCTCCATTGAAATTGTTGATAAAATTAATATTTTTTTTTTACAGGAAGCAAAGCTGCAACAGTAAATCTACTACAAGAAACAGACGACCCATCGTTATTTACAATTATACGTAAGTAATAACTTTATAATTATAATCTATATTTACCAACAGACGATGAAGGAAGACACAGCTTGGAAGAACTTGCTGCAGCTTGTGCTGGTTACCGGTTTTAAAGATAACAAGAGATTATAATTTATTAGTACAAAAGATTGGAGTTATAGAAGCGACTGCCCTGGTATAGCACAGACAAAGGTTCGAGTCCTATCAGATTAAAGGAATTTGTCATTGTGTTCTATCTTTATATTAATAATTATAACAAACTATAGTCGGTCTTTTTTGAAGACGGAGTAAAATGACATTTGTAGGGTTGCCAGTTTTCTTTAAACCGACTCCTCCTACGCAAAGTATCGTATGTCGAAATTGCCAAGTTTACAGGGGAGTGTTTTAAAGTTCTCCGTTTCATTCGGCAGAGTGTTGTAATCATCTAATAGATAATCTAAGCGATATCTAGGATTTTATAATACTCTATGTGAGTAACGAGATTTGCACAACAAAAGTGAGAAGTCACGTGTTATGCTTATTTCAGTGAATTTAGAACTTTAAAAGGCTCCTGTAACCTTGGCAATTTCGACATACGACACTTTACGTGGGAGGGGTCGAAATGGTTATCTATATGATCGATAGATTAAAAAATATATAAAATGTTGCCAAAAATGATTGAATTGATGATTAAATGATTACTATTTGCGTTTTGCTTTCTTTATTCTTATTTTGACAGTTGGCCTACTAGTATCAAAATCTATTAATATTCATATAAATTTTAAGAAGAATAGCCGGGTTTCATTATCTACATATATTGAATTAAAATGAAAAACTTCAAAATATGTCTCTTTGTATTTTTCATAAACATAGTTTTAAATACAGTGTATTTGTGTATGAACTTACAAAAATTGACAATTTAAATGAACTTGTGCTTAGTAATTGATGAATAATGGGTCGAGGATGATTCAAGTGAAACAAGTTCGGTTATTTATTCCATAAGCGTGACCATTATTCAATCGATAGTCGATAAAATATATACCGACTGCAATCACTAGCTGCTCGCAAACGGGCCACACTTTTGCACGTCATTGATGAATCCAGGAGAGAGCAAGATTGCTAACTAGCTTTTGTTACTCGAGGTGCCGTCCGTACATTATTTTGCGTACACGCAATGATGCGTAAGTCGGCCTCTTAAAACAAATTTTATACGTGGTGCCGAAGTACGCAAAATTACGTATACGTAATATTACGTATATCGGCATCGTCAGTAGGATTTTAATTTTTAGTGCCGACTACGCATTATTACGTAGAAGACAAATAAATAAATTGATTGATTGATTGAAGACCGTTTGTGTGGTGGCCACCGATTTCGGTTCGAAGACTACCTTCGGCAGTCAATGTGATGTATCATGTATTGTGCTAATGTACTGCAGGTAGAAAAAACACCATCATCAGTGTTGCAAAAGTGATTTTTTTTAATTGAAAATGTCTTGGCAGATCGTGAAATCAGCTAGGTACTATTTTGTCATCAGTAAATGTTTTTTCCAGTAAAGTACCTAAGCGATCTCTTAAATAACTATTTATTGTCATCTTGCAATATTGAAGAAAATAAAAGCTTTCTTGATGCGTTTAATTTGATATGAAATCTCACAACACAGGTTTTAAATTGTTATTTTTCTTCAGATAACCTCGAGGATGTGACCAAAGCCGATTCTCTTCAAAGCAGTACAACGGAGCAGTTAGGGCAACAAGTACACGTATGTATCAATGTCTTACGCCCGTATTATAAACAGCTCGTACTATTATTTGCACGTTGTCGCGATTAGGTTTTGTTCCCAGTAGTTCTATGTACTCAGTTCCATATAGAACAATTGTATTGGATTGATTCATTAAAAATTCCAATACAGTGAATAGCGACATCTCTAGCCGGGGCTGGTAGCTGTAAAGGTTTCTAACTGGGTGACGAAATACTTTCATAGATTTCTCATAGATGGCGCTACGGCTAAGAAGTCGTTGAAAATAAATTTCATATTTTCATCTTTCTTCCCGTTAGTTTCATACATAGAGAAATTCCTAAAGCTGCATTGTTTTTAAAGTCAAGGTTTTGCTCTTCAGAGCATATTGCCAGTCCTTCTACACGTGTAGCCTATGGGTTACTTTACGCAGCTTAGTTCATATAATAATGCGCTTAGGGTGCTATTTAGATTGACGCGTTTCTGTAGTGCCTACAGCTGAGGCCACGTACAGATTGCTTCTTTGGCGTTGTGCCCAATAATCTTATACAAAAAAGGGAGATGTGTTGCTAGCGTTCCCGTAGTGAAAATTCGAATCTCAGTCAAAAGACTGACCTTGCAATGAATCTGCGTCGAGCAAAGATACGAACCTGGCATTTGTAAAGTTGCGGCATTTTAAATCACTTAAAAACGAAAATATTTAGAAAATACAGTAATTGCCGTAGTAAAGTAAATAAAACACAAGGAATCACGTATAAGGGCGATGCAATCGCTAATCGTCTGCCTTCACACACGCGCGCGATTTTAAGCAGCGATGCAATCGCGTATTTGCTAAAAGTCCCCATGTGTAACCACTCTTAGATCATTGGTTGTGCCTCACTCCTAATTCGGCTACGCGACAGGTCGCTGCGTATCGACATTTTGCGATATATCGGTAAAAATCATCTATATTTTCGATATATCGTAAATAACTCTAAAAGATAAACAACAACAAAAAGAAAGTAAAACTACCAGTTTTGACACAATAATCAAATGTATTTCTTCAATTACTGAATCCTAACACAACAATATCGCCCGCGCACAAGTAATATTACTGTCAATATTATTGTGTGTGTGCGGTAAGTCAATGAGAATATAACCACTACGTTACACTGACGGATGACCAGCGAATCGACCACGGAGGCAGTTGAATTATTTTAACGCCATTATTTTAACAAATTAGTTTTAGCAATCGTTTTGCGGATATTTTAATTGTGTATTTAAAAATTCTTGTTACAGATGGTAACTAGCGACGAAAACGGAGGTATCAGATTGGTTCAATTCCACATACCACCTGGCGCCACGAGTTGGGCAATCAATCAAGAGTGAACATTAAATTACAATGTATTATTGTTTATTCTCAATATCTCCTAGTCATATTGTGCCAAGCGGTGCTTATACCCCGCTTACCTTTCCTAAATAAGGCCTATTAATGTATTGAGCACCGATCTGCCTCTAAATAAAAACGTACTTAATTCTGCTTGTATTTTAATAATTTTGCAGCACGCACTAAAATGAAATCAGTTGTTAAATTTAGCATTTAAATTATCTAATTATAGGTATTTATTTACTGTATTGTAAGGACGATGAATTAAAATAAATATTTGTATATAACAGCGTGAGTTTTCTTTGTGTATAATACTGAAAATATAAATTAAATTGGATTATAAATTATATATAAATTGTGAAAATGATAATTCACAAGCGACAATAATTATAATTGATAATAAATAGTAGTACGTACAGACGTGCGCCGATCGTACGTATAATCGATGTTTTTGGTAGTAGCAGTAGAACTCCTAATGAAAGTTTGTCCACGGAAGTACTGCCACCTTATCTATTACTGCGTTCCGGTTTTGAAGGGTAAGGGATGGCTCATGGGACTTGTCAACTTATGTCTCAGGGTTACGGGCGCAGTGGCAGTGCCCCTCGGATATTTGCAAAACGCTTTGTCGTCGAATTGCGGACACCAACCCGTTGCACCAAGTACCAAGTACAATCTTAATAATGTAAGCTGGGAACACCTTAAAATTAAATGTATCAAACAGTTGCAAGTAAATACCACTTGCAATTAGTAAAAAAGACTATAAAATTGACAACATCAATAACGACAGCAGCAACTAAAATAAAAACGTAATAATGCACTTGTTCTACTACAAAAAAAAACCACACCGACTGTAACAAAAAAAGGGAAAAATACATAAATTGAATTATAACGGAACGTATCCTGCTAGGTGAGTCACTATGAATATCAAATCGGTCACTATTACCACTATTACATAATTGACCATAAAGTTTCGTTACGCTATGTACGGACAACAGCGTATCAGACTACACATTTTTGTTCGAAAATCGCCTCCAGTGCAACGGAACAAGATACGTCAATGTGTAGCTTGATGTGCTGTTGACTGTACAATATCGTTACAAAAATTCACCATTGGAAAGTTAGTAGGTAAATTGACAGGCCAATAGCACTTCATTCAGGCGCCATCTAGCGGGAGAAAATGTGGTATGAATGATGTACGTAGACAGGCGTAATTAATTTTAATTGTACGGAATTATTTTATTGAAATATAGTAAATATTTAACAAAATATCTGATACTTCATTAAAATAAAATAAATTTGCGGCGCACATCTCTATACTAACCATAGCGCCTGATTAAATTAAAAAAGCAAAGTTTTTAATGCTTTATTGCCATAATATAATGAGCAGGCGTTGGCACTTCTTCGTAAAATTTTCAATCGTTTATATTTTTTTAAGTAATGTAGATAGGAAGCGTATACCTTTAATTCGTGAAAGTAGCAATGATTGGTAATACATACTTCTGGATAATCTGCTCCCTTCATGCTGAACAAAGTGGCGACCAGAAATCCTGATATCAGAATGGCTGGTCAATTATTTTTTTAAATTTCTCAGAATATATGAAAGGTAGCAATTATTTAGAAAAGCTAACACATAGGTAGCAATTCTTGAATATACACTCAGTGCCAGACGCCACAGGCGACCAGCCATCCTGACAGTCACCATCAATTCATTCAATAACGTTAAATCAAAAAGTTTCACACTAACTGCTGTCAAATACACATTTGAAGTAGATGAATTTGTTTAAAAATCAATACTGGAATGGGAAGGGTCTAGGCAAAACAGAAGAAATTAGCGTGGTTTACTTGACAAAAAAATTTGGAACCTCTGGTTCTGGTCATAGGTTAACAGCTTAGGGACTTAGCAGCATTTTCCAAGGGTTGTGAGACGCAGGTCTAATAACGACGTTTTCCCTCACTGTTAGCGAGAGGTAATGATACGAAATATTCAGAGATGTGTACGTAAATTACAAATTAATGACAGGTTTACACCGCCGAAACAGGGAATTCAGCATCTCAATTGACAAGCTAGTGTTGTACCACTGCAAACAATAATTATGACAGACAGAAATTACTTATTAGTACCTATACAATAAAACACAAATTCGGAAAACTGGTATTATATATTTCAATAATTGTTCAATGTAGTTACGCTATTAATGATTCAAACGACGTAATGTTATTTTGTGTATTAGATATAATAATAAAAACAAATATTAAACATAAAAATTATGAAATAAGTTACAAAAATTGAAACTGTAAAGAATAGTACGAGTCAACTTCATGACTTGATCCAGGATATTGAACAACGTTGTCTATAGTATTATTATTATAAAAAAAACAGTTGTATTTATGAAAATGTAAATAGCAAATGATAAATTGAAAACCTTTTTGCAAATGGCACCCCTCATGGAAGAATGGCATAAGTGGCGTTACGTCAAACATGTTTATTGCTCCATTAGATACAGAAAAATATAACCGACATTCTCTCCAATTCTTGTAATTCTATCTACAATATTGGTCGATAGAATTACAAGAATTGGAAAGGATGTGAGTTACATTTTACTGGAACAATAAACGTTTTTGACGTAATTCCACTTATGCTATTCTTTCATGAGGGGTGCGAAATAGGTACTTGGATACGCTTTTCTTTATTACATAAATAAGGTTAATTCAATGATATAGTCAGCTGATCAAATGTGCATTATTCCATCTACAGTCCGTCGCTAGACATAAATAGCAGCATCAAAAAGGGTCAGAACATTCTCACCTGTACCTTAAGGAAATAGTCAAGTAACTCTTGGTCGGTCAGGGTCAGAACACAGAACTGGTCAAGTCAGCCCAGATATGGTCACCAAATAAAGTCTTACTCGTACTATCTTTGTATGTACAGTGTTATACTAAGATAACCTCGCTGGGTATCATCTAACATCATAAACAATTTTTGTTCCATGACTTTATTAATTCTTCACATTTTACTTTCATACAAAAATAAATATATTTATAAAGATCGTTCTAAATGGTGAAAACTCAGTGCAAAACGCAAGAGCGCGGGTAGGGACGTCGGGGAGGACGCTTGGATGTTTGAACTTACTACCAGATGCAGCTCTAAAAAGTGTCAGATAGTAACAAAATTCTTGATTTTTTTTGGTGAATTTATTAAGTTTTGTAAAAAATCACGGAACAAAAGTTATTGATTACGATGATAGTGCGAGGTTGTATTTTATAAATAACAAACACTATATGCTCTCAGACATATTTCGAGCCATCATGCATTTTCAGTATTTAACGCCCTAAAAAATTATTCTGCTATTTTTAACTGGTACAACAAACAATTTCCATAACTTGAACAGAATTGTATAACTTGAATAACTACAACAGAATTGAGAACCTACTCCTTTTTTGAAGTCAGTTAAAAAAATGCAAAGTCGCTCGGATTACGTGTCCGGGGGTATATCTTCCGGACTTCTAACCTTTTGTCGTCAAAATTATCACTAAAATCGTGCTAAAAAGGACGACGACGTGTGTAAAAAAAATCACACATTAAATAATAAAGTGAGTAATTCAAATAGTACATTTTTGGGGAATTTACAAAAGAAATCTCCGAATAATAACGAATAAATTACTGTAACAACATCCTGAGTATCATTGCTGGCAGGGTCCAGTCCAGTCCATGATCCAGGTCCCTGTATAATGTGGACATACTCTGCTGTGATTTTTCTTTCGGAATAAATGATTTTCTATTATATTTTCTATGCGTTACTTTTTTCATCTATATTGTCAGTTTCCTCAAAAAGTTAGTATTCGAAATAACGCCACTTCATTATTGAGTGTGCGAAATAACAATAAATTACATTTTCCTATTAAGTTATTCTAACATTTGTTGGTTAGAGAAAAATAAACTAGTTAAAGACTGAAAAGTAACTATCGCTTTATGACACTAATGTTAGTATTGTCAGTAAAAGGAATTAGTTCTGAAAAATTCCGCAACATGGCGAGGGTTAAAATTGTACTTGTCAGTCTTTTTACAATAAAAACAAAAAATTTATAACAGGTTAATCGTAAACAATATCTATGATTATTATAGATTAAAAAACAAAAAAACGACACTAGTAATTTAGATTTGTAAGGTGTAAAGGTGATGCGCTACTGTAGGGAAGTTATAAATACTATGGACATGCTGCTTTTTTATTAACTGAGTTGAGAAGCTTTGGATGGACTGATGTTTGTAACTCAATTGCTTGTATGATATTTGGTGATTTAATGTTCTTTAAAACCCTGAGATATTTAAAGGTCCATTTTGATAATATGACCGGTTGAAATTTTTTATCCATCCAAAATAATAATATTAAACAATGATATACGTTGGAGAAAAAAAGATACGTATTACAATTTTAAAAGTCGTTACTGTCTCGGCCCGAATAAAAATTTTTCTTGTACTAATAAGGTTGGTTTTACGTTGGTCGATCGATAGGGACACTGGCTTATTTCAGAAAGATTTTTTTTACAAACGAAATTGCAGCCATTTGGAAAATGCATATCGCATAGTACACGAGTTCAATTTACTTCAGTTGATATTAAAAAAAAATCATTGGTGAAGTATCTATTGAATACAGCCATTGACTTACAATTATATGGACGTCGGGTCCGCGCTAAAAAGTGTCCGCACTTGTAAGGCGCTAAAATCGTATACAGAGCGCGACACTCCGCTTTAGTCTTCATTTGTTCTACGGACAGCGCGATACTGCGATGACATAACAATTAAATTTCGAATAGGTTGACTTGGGACATTTTTTTCGTGGTTTTTGTATTAGACCCGTCGTCCATTTATTTGTAAGTCAATGAATACAGCGGTTTTCTTGTAAAATTTCGAGGTAAGTTTGTGTTTTTTTTTTCTATCGAGAAAACGTTTAAGGAATCGTGTTTTCACACCGTATAGTAATCAGTGTGGATTTTAAATTTTACTATATAGGAAATGAAACTATTTTTCCGGATTTAAATCGCGTATATTTGTTATTTCAAACAAACCGACGTTTCGGGCCCTTTACAGGTCCCATGGTCACGGTTGACTGAGTTGGTACAGTCTTCAACCAGTTATGTCTAATATTTGTATGTTATTGTAACCATAGTGAAAAAATAAGGTGGTTTGCATCAATATTTGTTGAAGACTGTACCACCTCAGTCAACCCTGAACTTCGGAACCGTAAAGGGCCCAAAACGTCGGTTTGTTTGAAAAAACAAATATACGCGATTTAAATCCGGAAAAATAGTTTCATTTCCTATGTGTAACAATCGCGAAAACCTAAGAACTCGATATTTTACTATATATTTTTTCCAAAGTGATTTTTCACTTTCACTTTTATGCTGAATCAACCAAAGCCATTTGAGGCAGTACAGACTCTTAAATACGTAAAACATATTGAATGGATTGTAAATATTTATATTTTAAGTATCGCTTGCACTTGTCATGATTACTCAAATTTTCTTAGTTAAAAAAGCGTTAAAAATATGGAAATAGGTAACCCAAGTTTATTAAACTTGGGTTGTACTTTAGTGAACTTAATAAATGTTACTAAACATGATATATTTTAAAACCGTGATGTATTATAAATTTACAGTTAAGGTGGCACCATACCACGCGGACTCGGCTTGAGCCGGTGACAAAATAACTCGTCAACATTGTCTTATCCGCTCTTATTACACGGAGACAAATTTTTGGAGTGTAGTGACATCCTTATTAGAAGTATTGTAGTTAAAAATCTTTATGCACAGGACATTCTTTGCTGAAACATGTCTTTCCATAGTCGATGCAGGGCAAAGTGCCTGGCTTGAACGGCTCGGCCTTGGGGCAGAACTGGATTACTCTGGAATAATAAAAAAAGGTCTACGTAAAAGGTGGACGTAACTTCCTAGAACACCTAGACGAGCAGCTTGATTTTGATTCCCATTCTCGATCGGAAACTGCCTCTCTTCCGAGTCGAGGCGCATAATTGCGATTCACAACAGGCAACTGGAAACTTTTGACATTTCTAATCGGAACAATAGTTGATTTAATTCACAAATTAGAAAGATATAGTAGGAATCAGGTTCATCTTCTCGCTCAGAAACACGTCTGATTTCGAGACTACCCGATCGGGTCGATTCGAATTTGAATCAAAATCAGGACGCAGACCCAATTTAGAAAAGTTCATTTCCAAATTGTTCCTGCCGGGAATCGAGTCCGAAATCCCCTCATACAGTATCCACAGTTATAGGCCACCGAGTTCGTTAAAAAATATAGACAAAGCCATGGAACAATAACCTCCAGAGGACTGCCAATCGCGATACAAGAAAGCGTAGTCGGGTATTTAGAACTTATTGGCACACTAGATGTCGCAACGAGTACTAAAGCTGCTAATTTCTAGTGATAACAAACATATCAACTAGCTGGCGCCTATTGGACAGATTTTTATGGATAGTGTAGGGCTATTCTTTATTTTGTTTAAGATTAGCGCTATCATCGGGTATATAACCAGAAATAAAGACGAAATAAGAGCCGTACATTTCTGGTAACTCATCAGTGATACATCACTTATTAATATCAACTCTCGTTTGCACTGAAATATAGACAGCGCCAACAACTGACCTGTGTGTGTGTACGTCTCCGTATAGTCCAAATATATTCTGTATTTATTGTACTAAAGATAATATCTCTATCAATGGCGTGCTGTTCCATTGGCTGGTGTGGGGAAAAACAGCAAAATATGTAATTATAAAACAAACGGAATTAAATTTTATCGATAATTAAATATGTAAGTTTGCAATTTTCGTCCATTATAGCAAAGCTTAAGTTAACTGGTCGATTTGAAGTGAAACAATTAACGACACCCATTGACGACACTTGTCAATTGTTTCGTATTCGGGCTGGCCAATCGGAACCCAGTTGTCACCGTAATGATATGACAGATTAGTTTTCAAACAAATTAAATGACATTTCGTCTCTATTTCTGGTTATATATTCGATGAGCCGTATTTTATAGGCGCAGACGACGCGCGTTAACGTGATTCAAACGAGATTCAGTTGTCGAGACAACACTGCTTACGCTAGCTTTATTAGTGATTTTAAAAAGAAAAAATGTAAACGTAACCGACTCTATTGGATAGACCCATTTACGAGGAAAACAAAATTGTGTGGTCATTTTAATACAACGTATAAAAACAGTAAAACATAGAAGATTTGAAAAGTTTTCAAAATGTTATCGAATGTCATATTCGTAATTCCAAGACCTACTTTTAATTGAGCGCACGCCCCTCCCTTGCCCCTTTCCCTGTGGAAAGACTGATCTTGCAACGAGATGTTTGAGTCGATGCAAACGCAACAATTTGCTTTTCGAACATCTTCGGAGCCGTAAACGCGCGTTCGAGAAGCGCGCCGTGTGCGTAGGCTCTTAATTTGTAACACACAATGACATGTATTAATACGCATATTTGTCAAAGTTCAGAAAATAATTTTAGATCATGATCAATATTTACAAGAATGTCATCATCATCATCATCAGCCTATTGCAGTCCACTGCTGGACATAGGCCTCCCCTAATGCACGCCATTTCGCCCTGCTCTCGGCTTGACGCATCCATTTCCTGCCAGCAATCTTCCGCAGATCGTCACTCCATCTGGCTGGAGGGCGTCCCACACTACGTTTGCCAAGTCGTGGTCTCCACTCAAGAACTCGTTTACCCCAGCGGTTGTCGGTTCTTCGGCAGATATGTCCAGCCCACTGCCACTTCAGCTTGCTTATCCGAAGAGCTATGTCGATCACTTTGGTTCTCTGTCTGATAACCTCATTACGGAGTTTATCTTTCAGAGAAACTCCGAGCATAGCTCGTTCCATAGCTCGCTGAGCGACTTTAAACTGGTGGACTAGCCGTATCGTGAGTGTCCACGACTCAGCTCCGCACGTTAGAACTGGTAGGACGCACTGGTTGAAAACCTTTGTTTTTAAGCTCTGCGGGATGGGTGACGAAAAGACTCGACGTAGCTTCCCAAACGCTGCCCAGCCAAGCTGAATCCTCCTCCTGGCCTCCTTCTCGAAGTTATTTCTACCTAACTGCAGAATCTGCCCGAGGTAAGTGTATTCGGAAACAACTTCAAGAAGGTGGCCATTGACGCAGATGGGTCTCGGATCAATGTGGTCATTGATCATGACTTTGGTTTTATCAAAGTTCATGCCGAGACCAATCCGCCGCGAGGCGGATGCTAGGCTGTTCAGCATCTGATCCAGTTCCTCCAGCGATTCTGCCATTAGGACTATGTCATCTGCAAATCGCAAGTGTTACAAGAATGTGTCGCACATAATTACCTAATTAAGGACAATAAACAATTAGATATATTTAATTCTAAGTGTCACGTATTTAAGAAGTTCGTCTCAGATGTCCTCAAGTAGTTCCTTGTAAAGTTGGCGTTTTTTACTTGTACCCCTTTTCACTACGGCCACAGATATTTCGACCCCACCTACGTAAAGTATCGTATGTCGAAATTGCCAAGTTTCGAACAGAACAGAATTTTAAAACGCTCCCCTGTAAACATTGGCAATTTCCACATACCATACTTTACGTAGAAGGGATCGATGTGTATGGCGTACATTTATTTCTCTCGTGAGTTTCGGTGTAATTTGTGGTTGTCTATGTGTGTGTCCATCCGCGATACAGGGTTTTACCGCACTAGTGCGCGGCTATGGGTGTATGCATTTGAACCAGCGACCTCGCCATACCGGGGCTATCGCTCTCCCAACTGAGCTACGGAACGAGTCAGCAACTTACGAATTTCTCCATGTTTTTGTTGCAGATTTCTGTTTTTGATTTTAAAGAATCTTTTACCGTATAAAAATAATTGAATACCATGGTAGTAAAACATTGTATATTCAACAAAAATAATAATACCCACAGAAAATGTCTGACGTTATTGAGAATGACGTAGTAACTTACCCGTAAATTCCTTTCTTCATCCAGTCAGGGTCGAGCTTCGTGTATAACTCGAATTTGCCTTTAGGCATACCGCAAATTATCTCAGACTTGACTGTCCTACATGCTATGATAGGCGCTGGGTTGAAACCTGTAACAGACACGTACGTGACAGAATAATTTCTGTCCTCGAAAGACACAAAGGCACAAACAAAACAGTAAGTCTAAACATTTTTCTGATATAAAAAATAGTTAAAATGTATAAAGCTCCTTGTGAAAGATTTCGGCTAGAGAAGTACTACCACCTTATCTATTTCTGCCGCCAAGCAGTAATGTAACCATTACTGCATTCCGGTTTATGAAGGATAAGGGTGGTAGTGAAATTACAGGCACGTGGGTCTTGTCAACTTATGTCTCGGGGTGAAGGGCGCAGTGGCAGTGCCCTTCAGATGTTTGCGAATGAAAGCTCTGAGTGGCACTGTAATTGTTATGGACAAGCGTGTAGTTTACTATCAATTAGTATATAGTAATTAATCCATAGCCCGTGTATATGATTTAAGATATTACGGTCGACATTGCCTGCATTTTATGACACTGTTACGAGCTAGTGTGATGAAGATAAAATTATATTAATGGAGCTTTAGGTTAGCAATATTTATAATATGATACATTATACACACACAGTAAAAATAAAAACCATTATGATATTTCATAAATATTCAGCCTGGCTGTGGTTATCGAGTATATAACCAGAAATAGAGACGAAATAAGGCCATCCAACACTGGCAACCCATCAGGCAAATGGGCCTTATATCACTTTTAAATATCAACTCTCGTTTGCGCCGAAATCACAAATTAGAAAGCCCAAATGATGCAGCGCCAACAAGTGACCTGTGTGTACGTCTTCGTATAGTCCAAAAATATACTGTATTTATTGTAATCAAGATAATATCTCTAACAATGCCGTGTTATCCCAATCGGTGGTGTGGGAAAAACAGCAAAACATCTAATTACAAAACAAACGGAATCACATTTCATCGGTAATTAAATATGTAATTTGTCAATTTTAGTCCATCATAGCAAAGCTCAAGTTAAACTGGTCGATTTGAAGTGAAACAATTGACGACACTCGTCAATTGTTTCGAATTCGGGCTGGCCAATCGGAGCGCAGTTATCACCGTAATGATTTGGCAGAACAGTTTTGAAACAAATTAAATGACATTTCGTCTCTATTTCTGGTTATATACTCGATGGCTGTGGTACTGGTACCTTGCAATCGTTCGAGCATCTTCGCATAGGGGTTAGTGTTCAACTCTCCCATCAACTTGCGGTAGTTAAGATCCCCCTTGAACAGTATCCCTGTCGAGAACTGGAAGTTTCGGTAGAGATTCGGGTCGATTTTTTGCATGTCCTTGTACACGTGAGGGTATGTCCAGAAGTCTTCGTCCTGTAATGGATTTCAATTATATTTTGCATCAGCATCCGCATTGATCGACACTGATATTCACTGCGTGGAATAATTTACAAAAACCCTGAAACAGGCCGCAAGCTTAGGCTAAGACCTTTGATAAAATTCCAATATGACTAAGAGTCGACACTACCTGAGCTTGAATTCAAATTTTTCCCGTACTAATACGGTTCATTTTGCTTGGGTCGACTGGCAGGGACACTTGGCTTTATTTCAGAATTTATTTTCTTACAAACGAAATTAAAGTGTCGTAAAAATTACATCGTATACTATATGTGTTCTATTCAGTTCAGTTGATATCATTGACTTACAAATAAATGGACGACGGGTCTAATACAAAAACCACGAAAAAAATGTCCCAAGTCAACCTATTCGAAATTTAAATTGTAATGTCATCGCAGTATCGCGCTGTCCGTAGAACAAATGAAGACTAAAGCGGAGTTTGGCGCTCTGTATACGATTTTAGCGCCTTACAAGTGCGGACACTTTTTAGCGCGGACCCGACGTCCATATAATTGTAAGTCAATGGTTGATATTGAAAAAAATTAATGGTATTTGTAAAGTACCTATTGAATACGGTTTTCTTGTAAAATTTCGAGGTAAGTTTGTTTTTTTTTTCAATCGTGAAAATTTTTAAGACTCGTGTTTTCACACCGTATAGTAATCAGTATATCCTCAATTTTACTATATATTTTATTCAAAGAGATTGATTCAACGCTTTCACTGTTATGCGGGATCAACCAAAGCCATTTGAATTTGTATAGGGTCTTAAGCTAAGCAGATTGATTGATTTTATGTACATTCATACAAGAATCAATAGGTTCAGGCATTGACTTACAAATAAATGGACGACGGGTCTAATACAAAAACCACGAAAAAAATGTCCCAAGTCAACCTATTTAAACGTAGTGACATGTAAAGGAATATGAAAAAGCTAAAACGTTGAATTTAAATTGTAATGTCATCGCAGTACTGTCTAATTTTGCTTGCTTCGCTGTCAGAAGAAACAAACGAAGGCTAAAGCGTGAATGCCGCTCTGTATACGATTTTAACGCCCTATAAGTTCGGACACTTTTTAGCGCGGACCCGACGTCCATATAATTGTAAGTCAATGGGTTCAGGCGTTACTTTTTCGGAAGTCCATGTTAATAAAAATGGGGGTAAATTAATTTGCTTCCATTTTTATCAAAAAGAATCTGTACAGTTTTGGCGATATTTTTAAAATATGTAAAATCTGATGTCTAAGACGCCTGCATCAGCAACAACCCTAATTTTGACGACGTCTGTAGTCTCTAATATCTCGGGTTCGATACCGTGCCTGGTCAATGTAGAAAAAACTAACTTTTCTATATTGTCTCGTGTCTGGGTGTTTGTGCTACCATAGTTGTTTTCGATTTCCATAATACAAGTGCTATAGTTACTTATTTTGGGATCGAAATAATCCATGTGATATTTATTTATTTGTACAACGTTCACCATCGTCATCGACAGGTATAGTATACGATATCGCGTTAATCTTCTTCAATAAGCAAGTTTCTTAATATGACAGTTAAAGCTTTCCCTCACTTAATAGTTAACTAAGGTTCAATTTAAAATTTAAAAAAAAACTTCAAAAATCTGTAAAGCTCCTTTGAAAGAGTTCGTCCAGGGAAGCATTACTGCGTTCCGGTTTTGGAGGTTAACGGTACTGGTGAAATTACAGGCACATGAGACTTGTCAACTTAATTCTTTGACTCTAGTGAAAAGGGGTACAAGTAAAAAAAAACAACTATACAAGGTGACGCGAAAAACAGATAAAGCTTAATATGATATTAAGCATTAAGTGATTTTCGCGTTTCTTTTTTAAAATTGGCTTTTTTACTTGTACCCCTTTTCACTAGAGCCATAGTTATGTCTCAGAGTCACGGGCGCTGCGGCATACCCCTCCATTTTTGCGATTGAGCGGCGGCACTCCACCTGCTTATTTTCCATATCTACTGACCGTAACAAAGAAGGAGCCATCCTCAAGGTACTGCTTCCACGTGGCAGCCAGTTCTCTAACGCCCTCGCTGCTAATGTTGCGCGGCTCCTCTGGCTCCGGCGGTTCTTCACCTTCTTTAACCTCTGCAGAGAATTTATTTATTTTTGTACAACTTCATATAACACATAAATTAATAAAGCGAGCTAGACTAGAGTCAGCCGCTGGTAGCTGTAAAGGTATCTGGCTGAATGAAAAAAAAACTTTCATAGATTTCTCATTGGTGGCGTTACTTATTTCTTTTTGTACAACTTCATTAACTACTTTATATAACACATATATTAATAAAGCGACATCTCTAGTCAGCCTTGGTAGCCATAAAGTATCTAGATGAGTGAAGAAAAATTTTCATAGATTTCTCACTGGTGACGCAAGTTATTTCTTGTTGTATAACTTCATTAACTACTTCATATAACACATATATTAATAAAGCTACATCTCTAGATAACCGCTGGTAGCTGTAGACGTATCTGGCTGAGTGAAAAATCACTTTCATAGATTTCTTACAGATGGCGCTACGGCAAAACACGGCGTGAGGCGAGCGTGCTTACATATAAGCCGTACTGCCATATTTGAATGGAGTTACCATACTTATCTTATTATACTATGTTATTCTAGGACCCCTTTAAAGCACCCTGTATGTTGGCAATATGTTTGTTTAATTACCTTTTGGAGGTGGCGGAGGTATGACCCTGCTATAACTCGCTTTAGAGCACTCCTCGATTAAGTGACTGTAAACAAACAAATTGTTAAAATCGTAATAATGTTATATCGTGTCTAATTGTATATTGTACCCTTAATCCTCAATTATAAAGTGGCTAAATTTTTTTGCTCAAAGACTGTCAAATTGACATCATCATAGTTGTGTTAAAATGTGCCACTTTATTATTCTGAATGAGGTTATGTCTTTTGTATATAATGCATATTTACTTGAAATCCTTCATTGTTGCGTCTGAAATGAACCATGGGTACTTTTTGACGTGGAATCGCACCTGAAATTAGTAATAAAAACAAAGAATTACTTTTTTTCAACTTGTAGTATAACAACCTTACTTATTTCTGCCACCAAGCAGTAATGTCAGCATTACTGTGTTCCGGTTTTGAAGGGAGAGTGCTGGTGAAATTACAGGCGCATGGACTTGTCAACTTATGTATCAGGGTGACGGGCGCAGTGGCAGTGCCCCTCAGATTGCGATTTAAAGCTCTGAGTGGCACTGCAACTGTTATGGACAGGTGTGTAGCCTACCATCAGACGTACGACTTGTTCGTTCCATCACTTGATATGATAAAAAAAAGTGGCTAACAGTTGATAAACCTTTGACAGCACGCAACGTCACCGCATTCATAATAAACCTGTGTGCGTGCTGATGACATCACACTGTATCATCAAGCGTGTTGAGGACACCACACTATCTCTCGGGTCAGTAGATAGGGATTTACTGACTCGAGAGATACAAAAATTCGTGAAGTCCGCTGGTTCGTTCCGTGGCTTAGTTGGTATAGCGTCTGGCAAGGTAAGCTCTAGATGTCGGTTCGAATCCGGCCGGATCGAAGAGTTTTTTCTGTGTGTTCTATCTTTGTATTAATAATTATAACAAACTAGTGGAGTAATTTCACAAAAAATAATTGAATACCAATTCAATAAAAATTTAAAATACAGCGAATAGCGACATCTCTCGCCACGATAAATCTTTCATAGATTTCTCATAGATGGCGCTTCGACTAAAAAGTGATGTATTTTATAATAAGATATTACTTACCGCCTCCACAAGTTCTTGCTTCACAAGAAACGTCCCGAAGCAGAGATCCGTGAATAGCTCGTAGCCAGTATTGTCACATACGATATCTGAAATAATAAACAGGGTTCGATATACAAGTAAAGGTACCTTGTGACGTACTTTTAAGGAGCATTATATTACATTACATATTCATTTTTATTGAATATCACGTTTATATAACCATGATTGTCATAACCGCACTGCTTTTACAATAGTGTTGTAATTCAAAATATGTAAAATTCATTATCCACACTTGAATAAAACTGTCATTAGAATATTTTAAGAAACAATTAAAAAACATATACTTAGCGCAAAATGGGACAAACTTTATGTGAGCTAGTTCTAGTAAGTCCTTACTTAT